TAATTGTTTTCTATCAAATCAAAACAAAAAACAACACTAAAATGTGTCAACTGTCATGTCAATCTCCTCCAAACTGCTGGATTCTCGAAATGCGATTTAAAAGTGCGCATTTTATTACAACAGTTTGATGGATGTCCATCAACATTCCAGCAGAATTTTGCAACAGTTTGATGGTTTCTTCGATTCATGCGCATGATAAAATGTTGGAATGAAAAACGCACCCAACTACAGTGAAAGCGATAGCTTATAGCGATTTCCATTCGTAAAACTGGTGGTGCACTGGTTTTGAAATATTTTCTTGTTTTTTGCTTTCATTCAATAGTATATCGCGATCAAATATAAATATTCATTCACGAAACAGGATAATGTTGTAATCAATTTTTCAAGAAAATGTTCTAAACCGTTAACTTTTATTATCAATGAGTCTATGAGATCAGGTATATTTCCAAACAGTTTGAAGCGAACAATCATTAAACCCATATACAAATCGGGTAGCAAATCACTAGCTGTAAATTATAGGCCTATATCATCGCTGATGAGTTACATTTGCTAAAATCTATGAAAAAATCCTGAAACTGAGATTCACTGGTTTTCTCAAGAAATTGAACATACTTTCGGAAAAACAATATGGCTTTATGGAAGCTAAATCAACCGAGGATGCAATGCTTGAGTTGATAACGAAAGTTTATCAATTACTTGACCAGAATAAACCTTATATTTCGAGGAATTCCTATGGCACTGATGGAAAACTATCTTACAAATAGAAAACATAGTGTAAAAGTCAATGATAAAAAATCAGCTCTGAGCAAACTATCGAGTATGGCGTACCACAGGGAACAGTATTAGGGCCGATACTATTCAACATATATATAAATGATTTATTCAAATGTACCACGCAAGGCAATATTATTGGATTTGCCGATGATACTGCCATTCTATATCAAGATGATTCCTGGATAAACTTGAAACAGTAAGTAGAATTGGATTTCGTTAATTTTATGAGCTTTTTTGAAAGCAAGCTTCTAACAATCAATTTTGATAAGACCTTCTTTGTTCCGTTTGCCAATTATAATGATTCTCTTCCTCCTTACGATGTGTTAATCATAAAAAACGAAAAACAAACCTTAGCGATGTATTCCAAGACAAATATCAAATATCTTGGTGTTATCATCGATAGACATCTGAGATGGAATTATCACGCAGAATATGTTGCAAAAAAATTGAGATGCATGTTAAATAAATTCGAATTCTATAAGGACATTTTCGAAATGAATTACTTAAAAATACTGTACACGGCCCTAATACAAACACACCTGAATTATGGAATCAAGATTTGGGGAGGGATAACGGATAATTACCTAACGACACTAGAAACCACACAAAAATGGATCTTGAAGATAATCAATGAAAAACCATTTAAACTGATATCCTATTTCATGAAACAGAGGGATACTAGATATCCGGCAGCTTTATTTCCAGTCAATAATCTTACATCACCAAAGACACAAACACACTTTTATCCAAAACATACATAACCATGATACTCGTTATAAAAATAAAAGTACTAGAATTCCAAAAGTCTCAACAAGAAAAAGCCAGAGATTTGTCACTTATTTATGTCCTGTACTCTACTCAGAGATACCTGATGAACTGAGAAACTCATATTCTTACCAATCCTTCAAGAAAAAGTTGAAATTATGGATTCAAGATAAACCGAGAAAATATATGTCCATTTACTAATTGACAGAAAGAACAATACATAATTAAACCGATTCTACATCCACCAAACTTTCAGAAAAAAAAACCGAATAAATATATAAATGTGAAAGCGATAGCTTATAGCGATTTCCATTCGTAAAACTGGTGGTGCACTGGTTTTGCACCAGTTCTGCACCCGCACTACGTTGGTTCTCCCGAAATTGTGGACTACTGCATTCCCATCGGATAAGTTGGTTTGTCTCTGTTCGCATCCTGAATTTCTTTCTTTTAACTCCAATTAAAAACACAATAGATGTTTCATGATGATAATTTTGAGCATTTTGTCTAATGAGTGCCTCTTCATCATTGAATAATGCCAAACATTCTCAACGAAATTATGAATTCTGGAAAGTAATCTCTTCTATTTTCTTGAAACCTCCATTTTTCAATCACTATATATTATTTGATGATGATGATTAGATTGTTACTAACAATTCTGCTTTCAAACTATTCATATTCAATGTTTTCGCCAATTTCAAAACTGCACTGACTACGCACGACCTATAAGAGCAGCTCGTGCGAGAATTCTTGCACTGAACTCTGAACTAAACTAAACTACTTACCAGATGAAGTGGGACAGCCAAAAAATTGACTCATTTTGATGATTTTGATAAGCTATAACTCGAACATTTCTTGGCCGATGTTGGATTTTCAACCAAAGGTAGAAAGCGTCATCCTTTGGCTATGCGTCATTGGCGCCGGGTTTTTATTTTTGCGATTCGTTCTCTTTGTACAGAGTGTGAATTAAGAGCCGGAAATATTTCAAATGTTTGACCAATAATTCAAGAAATGAGAGGGACCCTAGAATTATTTTCGAGATGTTGGGTGAATGGTTGGTCCGATACCTCGAGATGTCTTTGAAATTTTTTTGATAGATTGCGTTGCTATGGAAAAATCGCCATTTTATGTATAATTTCATTTTTATTTTAAAATGTGGCCTCTCTTTGTTGAACAATAACAGCCAACATCTGAACTGTAACAAGGGATATTTCTACTGAATATACCTAACACCAGTGCCGCGCAAAAAGGGGTTTTATGATATTTAGAAACAAAAAATTCGTTTTTATTGAAAAACTACAACAGTTTTGTTGATCGTTACAGTTGAAGAGGTATCATATCCTTAATTAGCATGATGTTGACAAATTCAGAGGTGCGCAAAAAAGAGGTTATGATATTTAGAAACGACAAAAACGTTTTTATTGAAAAAAATCAACAAGATTTTTTGAAATTTTTTCTGATAAAATTATGAAATTGTACGGCTCGAAAAACATCAGAAGCCAGAATTACGTTTTTGAATTTTCATTCATAAATAATGATACAAGAAAATTTTTACTTGGGAACGAAGAACAACACTTGAAAAAATTATTGAAAATGTATCCATATAAAACTTTTTGAATCGCCTTGATGATGTATCCTCTTTAATACGCCAATGGATAACTTGGATGCCCACCATGGATAAGTAAAAAAAAACAATGATAATGAGACCGAAATTCTGATTTTCCAATTTTGCACGCTTCTGAATTGGTCAATATCATGCTAAATGAATGTATGACAACTTTTTAACTGTAACGATCAATAAAACTGTTGATTTTTCCAATAAAAATGTTTTTGTCGTTTCTAAATATCATGAACCCTTTTTTTGCGCGCCTCTGAATTTGTCAACAATATGTAAATTGAGGATACGACCCCTCTCCAACTGTAACGATCAATGAAACTGTTGAATTTCATCAATAAAAACGAATTTTTCCTTTCCAAGTATCATGAACCCCTTTTTCGCGCCACTGGTGTTAATTATCTTCAGTAGAGATATCCCTTGCTCCAGTTTAGATGTTGGCTGTTAATGTTCAACCAAAAGAGGCCACATTTTGAAATAAAAATGAAATTTCATAAAATGGCGATTTTTCCATAGCAATGCAATTTATCCAAAAAATTCCAAAGACATCTCGACGTATCTGTCCAACCATTCACTCAACATCTGAAAAATAATTCTAGGGTCCCTCACATTTCCCAAATTATTGGTAACACACTTCAAATTTTTCCGGCTCTCAATTCACACTCTGTACAATGAGAACGAATCGCAAAAATTAAAACCCGACGCCAATGATGCATAGCCCAAGGATGACGCTTTCTACCTTTGGTTGAAATTCCAATATCGGCCAAGAAATGTTCGAGTTATAGCATATCAAAATTAGACAATTTTTTGGCTGTCCCACTTCATCTGGGTAAGGAAATATATCGATACCAAAGCGTGCATCGATATCGATATCCAGTTTTCAATATCGCACAGCCCTAGTATAGGCACTCAATTTCAGACCCGTTTCGTCCGGAATAGAGTTATGGCCTTTCATGCACTTGAATAAGTGACTCATTTATTCTTCGAATGAGATAGCATAACAAAACACTCGTTGTTCACACAGGAATATTATGAAACATATCATTTTTACAATAAAGTAATTCAGAAAAGTACACAAAATTCGAAGGAGCCGAACGATCTCGACGATACCCGAGACGAAAAAGCAACAATGTGTGGACTACTGCAAATCGTTTTCCATTGGACATTATCGTATGGACATAAATTGGACGTTGTATTAAGGAAAATTATCAGAGAGAACATGAAATATGGACACTATATGATTTGATTTATTGATTCGTTCGATATAACAAGATACTTAGATATATTAACAATTTATAACAGTTATCCTTTATTATCCCAAGGGTTCACCTAAGCACTTGAGGCGCTTGTTTTGTGCAGCCCATTGGAATAATTCAGGATTTTCATTAGGTAATTAAAATGAATGGTAATCATATTATACATATTAATGTACTAGTCTCAATGAAAATATATATAACTATCAAATAGATGGAATTCTTGTTGGATTTGATCGAAAATTCAATTAATGATTGTTTGGAATTATTTCTAGTTTTTTTTATTTTTTTTTTTTTATTTTTTTTCATTTTTTTTTTTCTCATCTTACATGTCAATCTCGTAGTGGTTGATGTGTATATGACTTACTTTTTCTAGGATTGCTGCCCGTGGACATTCTATGGATGTCCAGAATGTGTCCATGGATACTTTGGACATATAAATGAACACAAAACAGAAATCCAATGGACATCTTGTGTTATTAGGTTTAGGTTCTGCTGGATGAAGATTTATTCCAGAAAACACTGTACTCGCGCCTGTCGGTAAAGGGCAAAAAAAACAACAAGAACAAATAACACATCTATTCAATTGACACCTATCAGTAATGGAACTGGTTTCTCATCGTCTTCACGAACGGCCTGTGACAAGTGAGCACGATCGTGTCGTCGTCCTGCTTTAATTGAGACACGATCGTCTTGCAAGGTGGCGGTCTGCGCAACTTCCTCCCATGGATGCCAGTCTTCCGTTTCCACAACCCGGAGCGCGGTCTGTTGCCCAGCTCCCTGTTCCTCTGGAAAATAATAAGGATAATAGCCTTGATTAAGTGTGAATACTCATGATGATAGTCAATATTTATAGGAATGGAGCATTTACTTTCAAGTGAAAGGTAGAAGTAAGAGGTAGAAGTGAAAGGTTCTGCTTCAATTCGTATTCATAATCTCTACGTTTTCCTTGCGAGAATGATATGGAAGTAAGATATGGTGTAACCTCTCGAGAACAGCGATAGCAATGGTTCCGTCGATCTTCTAATAGATGGCGACATTGCACAATTATGATATATCTGTCAGTTTTGAAATTATCGCAGATTTTTCGAATTCAGAGTTGAATAATCCCACTGCTACATATGTTCCGCGTACCTAAAATGCCATTTGCCATTTTATTTCCACTCGTCAGCAATAGCAGCATCACCATCTAGCGGAAAAATGTAGAATCAACGTCTCGTTCGTTGTGACGTAGAGAAATCATAGTAGGCGGTCGAGTGATTTTTCTGAAAATTTCAATACGTAATTATGGCCGAATACGCGCACCATATCTTACTTCCATATCATTCTTGCAAGGAAATGCTTCGGATGAATAAATTAAAAGGTATTCAGGGTAACTCACGGTCGATGGTACGTTAGACGTTTATGGAGAACGGGACATAGGATCATTCTGAAATTTTGGTTACTCACGTAGTTGCTCTTGGTCTATCGATCTAAAATATTTTCAGCTCTGCGGCGTTGCCGCTTCTATCGAAAAGTAGCAACAACTTTGTTATTTTGAATGGAACGCCCTGTATTTTATTGCATGTTCAGATTCTCTCTGAAGAGCTGATTTAATCGATGCATCACACTTGGGGTCTAGCGGAAATGATTACAGAGATATAGGGTGTGAAAAATCGACATTTTTCAACTTTAGGAATTTTTTTTTGTCGAAACTATTCATTATTGGTCAAAACGGCTCACATTTCCCTATCTCAACTTTTGATCAACTATCTACTGACATTTAATTGAAACAAATACAGGGTCGTGCAGAATTCAGAATCTTGATCACTCGTTATATGTCCCAATTAAATATCAGTAGATAGTTAATCAAAAGTTGAGATAGGGACATGTAAGCCGTTTTGACTAATAATGAATAGTTTCGACAAAAAAAAATCCTTAAGTTGAAAAATGACGATTTTTCACACCCTATATCTCTGTAATCATTTCCGCTAGACCCCAAGTGTGATGCATCGATGAAATCAGCTCTTCAGAGAGAATCTGAACATGCAATAAAATACAGGGTGTTCCATTCAAAATAACAAAGTTGTTGCTACTTTTCGATAGAAGCGGCAACGCCGCAGAGCTGAAAATATTAGATCGATAGACCAAGAGCAACTACGTGAGTAACCAAAATTTCAGAATGATCCTATGTCCCGTTCTCCGTAAACGTCTAACGTACCATGGACCGTGAGTTACCCTGTATAGCCCTCACGGGATCTGGTGAAATTGGCAAGGAGTCAGAAAATCAATAAACACAAAAGAAGAAGAAGGAAATGTACAGCGATTATGACAGATTAAGACTTGTAGTGTAGCGTAGTTTATTCGTTTCATACTCAATACTGTTCGCAAGTGAATTAAGGTGAATTTGATCCTTCCGATTCAACTGGGTAGTATTATTGAGAATTTATAATTTAAAATGTCTGACACAGAAAGTGAAAGTGAAAAGGAAAGGAAGCGGAGATGTGACTACTGAAATGATGTTCGTTCATCACTGAAAGAGTCCAAGCATTTTCGGCTATTCTCGAGAAATCTCAAGTTCCAGCTATGAAAAAGAAGAAACTGCCGCATTGAGTTAAATCGTTAGAGAATAATAATAATAATGATAATATAGTTTATTTACTGCAAATAGATACACACACATATACATACATACAATATCAAGATTATATAACTATAGAAAAGTAATATCCTCAATTTATATGAATACGTGTTGAGTTAAGGAATACGGAACTCTGTTTGGTAAAAAAATGGAAATTAAACGATATTTCAAGAAAAAGTTCGAAATTTTGCCTTCTTTTCCCCTTTGTGTTGGATGCATTTACAGGTACTTGCTCTTTTTATTTTGTCATTGGACACTTCATATATTCATGATGAACTTCAATGGCACATTTTAAGATAGAAAATTCCTATTTCCTATTCCTATTTAGTGAGCAAGCATACCAGATGACGGCCATTTAATCCATAGGCAATCCAAATATGAGATGTCAAATGTCAATAGATTGCTTTGGAATGACATTACACAGGCCATTATTTCAAATGATATTCTTCCTTCTTTTCACTAAACATGGATAAATCACAAGAAAATCATATTTCTATAGTTGCCTCGTATAATAAAAAAAATGTGTCCAACATTGTGTGATATATATAAATTGTCCAATGATGGAAAAAGAAGGGCAAATTGTTCTAAATGCGATCCAGAAGACAGGCGGAAAAGAAGGTGAAATTTGTAACTTTATAGTGAAATATATTAATAAATAATGGTTTGTTCACATTTTCATTATCAAATTCGTGTTTTTCAGACAAAAATACGCAAGTACCAGAAAAAAATTTCGAACAAAAACCCATCCCATGATAAGTGCAAAATTGCTGTATTTTCTTCTATGTACTACATGCACCATATTAGCTAGCAATAACGAACAGAGCACTGGGACTACACCACCATAGATTACTCACTCAAGCCCGTCCACACTCATCAAAATATGCAAATGTGACGTTACAATAATCTGTGTGATGGCTGGGCAGCTATACTGTTGTTGTGAATCTAGATTCCTTTTTTCAGAAGCACATCCTTCAGTTTTTGAGCAAATGCTTCTTTTTATAAATAAGAAGCGAACCCCTCGAAGCATAACCTTTTCCTTCAATTATTCTTATTATTATTGAAGGAATTGCTTCATTTTTCGAAAGTGAAAGGTGAGGCTTCTTTTATGAATATGGACTATTGATGTTTATTCAGGGGTGCCTTCGAATACGTACTCTGTGGAGTAGAGTTTACTCATTTGCGTTCGAAATTTGTTAGATTATGGCTATGTCAAGTCTCAAGTCTGTGGTTTGACCGGGCACATACGTTCAGTTCGAAGTCTGACCATCAGTCTGATCAACCAGCTGTTTGGGAATATCGGTCACGTTTCAAACCTGCCCACAAAGTTACCACGCTAACTTTTGATGGGAGTCGAGTCAAACATTGACCATTCTGGTATCACCACTGTGGTCGAACGAGTGACTTGACTACTATAACTTTGTTAATCCTTGTCGGATTTTTGAGAAATTTGGATCAAATCGTAGATTCATGTTCCGGAATTTTTTGCCTGAATATTAGTTTTTCTACAAGCGTGCGTGATTCACCCTATACCGGCACGCAATTTAGTTTGGGAAGTGTCATTTTCCCGCAACAGTGCGGGTCAATTTTTCCCACACTAGTGCGGGAAAAACAAAGATATGATAATATCGCAAAATATAAGTGTCAGGTGATGGAATATGAAAGTTTTAGTTTGTTTGTTGCAGTATTAAGTATGTATGTTCAGAATCATCCATCAAATTGTACCATTTATTGTGCAAATTAAGAAATATTGAAAAATAGAAATTGACTATTATAAAAATCCCCGTATCGATTTGGATTGATCTGATGGGAAACGATTATTGTTGTCATGCCAATCAAACCTCAAATGAGTTTGTAATTGTCGAAGTGACAGACACAGCGTTACTGTCATTTTCGATTCAGTGGAATTGCCACAATGTGATCAAAAACTTCCAGTTATAGGGATGCGATACAGATGCGTTATTGCCATAGTAATCTTAAAAAAGGTATGAGAAGCTATACACGCGTTTTATTGAATGGTACAACAATAAAGAAATGAAAATACCGAATGAAGAAAAAGTATTTTTGGCTCATTTCCTAGAAGTGTCTGAAACCTAGAGACCAAACACCTTATGGGCCTGCTGGCTTCCGCAATGAACCTACATAATGCGTCTATATTTCTCTTGTTAGTTGTTCCTATTGCAGGAATAATTAATTGAATGAATCAATCAATTTCCTACGCTTGTAGAAAAAATAATGTTCCTAACTCATGCGGAATGTGTCTTTCCCGCACTCGACTGCTTGCCCGAACTCCGCTTCGCGCCGTTCGTGTCAACGAGAAGGAATCACTTTCCGCACTTGTTGGGAAAATTAGTATTTCCTGAAAAGCTGATGACATGATCATTATACAGGGAAAAACCAAAGTTACTCTTTCATCCTATACTTCTCAACGCCCTGTGGCAAAATTGCGTGATTGAACATGGCTTCATTATGCTTCGGAAGTGTGATCCCTTCTTAAAACAAAAGTTCTTGATTCACGTCAATATCTTATTTTTAAAAGAATATACGAGTGTTTCAAGGAAGTATGGTAATTTTCAACTTTTTCTACCAATAATCAGAACTAACATGATAGATAGATAGATAGATAGATAGATAGCGTTTATTTGATTACGTTATGCAAATACATACATTTGTAGCAAGTCAATACATCAATACAATACAATAATGTATGAATCTAATAAAAACAAAAATAATTTGTAAATGAATTGTTATAAAAAAAGACATCAAAACACTAATATATAGATATAAAATACAATAACATATAGATGAACTTATTGATCAACAACTTCAAGGATTAATATCACATATTTCTACCTTACTTTTTCAGCACTTACCGAAAAATCAATTACAAAAAACAAACAAGAAGCAGACCTGTAGGCAATAACGAGTATGCTATCCTCGATATTGAATTACATAATAGGCAATTTCACTATGATTGAAAATAGCCCTTTTTATATGGCGAACGGTCTCATACATGACTCAGTATATCAAATAGCACTTCTTCTCATCTATTGATTCCTTTACAACCGTTTAATTAATACTTCCAAAGTGCTACAAATTGAGAGAGTTCCAAACCACCATTTCTCGCGGTGTGACCCAAAGAGGATGCGTTGCACGAAACCACAGACACAGCTCACAGTAGTTGGGTGATCTGTGACTTGAGAGAGAAATGGATAGAAAACAAACTATAGAAGAAGAGAAAGATTAACCTCGGAATCTAGTACATAGTTCATTATAGGTTGCGTGCACGATGACCGACCCTGGAGGCAAAATATTGAAACACAACCTCATTCTTCTGTAAATTATTGAAACACAACCTCACTTTTTTATTTGGTTACAGAGGAATCAAAGGATTGAAATAGTTTTTCACAATATTTTGACATACGAATCGTGTTTTTTGCGCTATTCATTAATTCGAGCATGCCTTCGCATTGTGCTGTTGTACAATGCACAAAAAATGCAGCAAGAGACTAAGGAATATGATTTTTCAGGTAAATAGTAATCTCACATAGTTATCATTATGAAATGTTGTCATTCCTTATCAAAATTCCTTCTGCCTTCTGCCACTCCTGCAATACAAGCTAATACTGCTAATAGATTGAAAATGTCTACAACACACACGATCGTCAGCATGTCAGACCAGTCCTCCCGATTGATTGCATGAATCCAATTTTCTGGCATTATTTTAGAAATTTCAGATGTATTTCTATTAGCTTCTATCGCAGAAAGAATTCCGAAAACCATCATGTAGAGAAGAGATCACTCTTCAATCCAAAAGATAATGAAGCTAAGTTAAACGACTCACCTTTCCCACAGGGCGTTAAGAAGATAAGGGTGAAAAAGTAACTTTCATTTTTCCCTGTATAATGATCGAGTCATCAGATTTTCTCAGGAACTAATATTCAGGCTAACATTTGGAAATATGAATCTACGATTTGGTCAGAATTTCACCAAAATCGAACCAGAATTGAAAAAGTTACAGAGCAAACGGATTTGGCTGAATTATTTGGTCGCCGGATTTGCCGTACAGGGTGAGTCAATAGTGTGTTCTCCTTCTATATTAGCCAAACCGTCAGATATATAAAAAAAATTCGAATACAACAGTTATAGGGTTGGGAACTATTGATCTTTATAATTGATTTTTATAATTATTTGTATTCTACTGTATGTATTAGAGTTGTATTAAACATAATGTAATGTTCTGTCCCTAATACTAAATAAATTCTATTCTATTCTATCCCCTGAAATTATTTTCATATCTATAGGGTGTTCGAATTCCAAGATATCGGTTGATGATGGGTGTTTTCAATTGAGATGCCTTGTATATTATTACATTTTTAGATTCCGTCTTAAGAGCTGATTACATTGATGTATCGCACTGGAAACTAGCTGAAATGTTTAAAGAAATATACAGGGTGATTCACATAAGAACCGACATAGAGCAGGGGCATGTAGGGGGTCCCAAAATATGGCAATTTAACGCAACTTACCTCTATACCAAGTTACTTCCCTAAGGAATTATAGGCTTTGAAAGTGAAGTTATAAATTTTGAAAAAAATCAATATCTCCGATATTCTTGAACTTAAAGCAACCAAATTTGGTACACTTTGTGGATGTATTTAGGACGTTACTTGACAGTAACTAGAGTTCAATTGAAATTTGTAAAGGGGGTATACAGGGTGGCGCAGCATTAATATTCAACAGAATTTTGTTAAACCTCGATGGATTTCAAAAATCTTTGCTTTGTTGTGTGGGCAAATCAATTTTAAAACTTTTCTTACTCCAGTAATTTTTCGGAAAACCTCATCATCTTCATCAAAAACTCGAATAACTGAAAACGCGCGCTCTAGGTGTGTTATTTAAGATCATCGAAAATTCAAAAGTTGGCTATGAAAATAAACGTACAACAAGAAAGTAGGTCATTAATTGTGATCAGTAGAAATTGGCTGGCAAATTATCATTTAGATACGTAACAAAATATGTAAAGTAAGTACAGATACTGAAAAACTGGGATTAACAACTAACCAAAATAAACACAAAAAACCCAAACAACAACCAGAACAAATGATTGTTTATGGATAAATTACTTAATTGAACAACTTACTTGCTTCATTGTCGAGTTTGACGTTTATTTTCATAGCCAACTTTTGAATTTTCGATGATTTTAAATAACACGCCTAGAGCACGCGTTTTCAGTTATCAGAGTTTTTTATGAAAATGATGAGGTTTTTCGAGAAATTACTAGACTAAGAAAAGTTTCAGAATTGAATTGCCCACAAAACAAAGCAAAGATTCTTAAAATCCATCAAGAGTTAACAAAATTCTGTTGAATATTAATGGTGCGCCACCCGGTATACCCCCTTTACAAATTTCAATTAAACTCTAGTTACTGTCAAGTAACGCTCCAAATACATACACAAAGTCTACCAAATTTGGTTGCTTTAAGTTCAAGAATAACGGAGATATTGATTTTTTTCGAAATTTATAACTTCACTTTCAAAGCCTATAACTCCTTAGGGAAGCAACTTGGTATAGAGGTGAGTTGCGTTAAATTGCCATATTATGAGACCCCCTACATGCCCCTGCTCTATGTCGGTTCTTATGTGAATCGCCCTGTATATGTTTCAACTTGCTCACCACGCTTATTGACTCACACAAAACAATTCGGTGCATTCGAGGTACCTACTTGACCGTGACCGGACGTACTGGTGCGAGTAATATCCTACGTTTTTGTGAGTTTGTGAGTGATTATAGCCATGGCTAAATGAAAATATTTGAATGGCAAAGAAATACAAGACATTTTGGAGAATACCGACGATGACGAATGGGCCGATGTTAGTGATGAAGACTATGAAGAAATCATTCAATTCTTGCTCCATCCAGCCGTTACCACCGATACAACAAGGCCAGCAGACTCTGACGTAAACAGCTCGTGACGTCACCAAGAGAGGCCAGTGTTTTATTTTATCGCTTGTCGACTAACGCGTCAGTTCGTGTTAATTCAACGGTCCCGAATTCTTTTGTTGTTTATTCATCAAAATAATTGGCGGAAAAATTACTGTTTTGTGAAATATTTTGTGTTGTGATCGGCGAAATAACAATGCCTTTCAAGTGTTGTGTTCCCTTTTGTCGGGGGAATTATGTGGGTGGTTCAAAAGTTCATGCTTTTAGTTTCCCGTTGGACGAGGAGCTATCGAAAATGTGGGTATATGCAATTCACAGCGAGGATTTTACTCCATCTAAGTTCAGTAGTAAACAGAGCTTAATTTATAATGATGAATTAATAATAGAAGACAATTACTCTCTCATAAAAAGTATAAGTAGAGGAAAAATAGAAAAGCTTTGATTGTGCAGTTAGTTTTGTATTCGTATATTATAGTCAACAAAATCATCTCTGAATTCGAGGAAATTTTCTTGAATGTTCATAATAAACGGGCATTTTTAATTCTCATTTTCAAATTTCTTTCTGAAAACGGTCATTTGCCTCGTGGCAATGAATGCAGAATTCATTCCAATGATCAAATTGCAACTATCATATTAACATGAACTACAAACACTCTACTTAAAAAGGTAAAACTGCATTTATCATGATATTTATCATGAAGATATTTGACTAAAATGTTCCAAATTTCACCTTCTTTTTCACCTGTCTTCTGGATGGCATTTAGAACAAATTTCCCTTCTTTTTTCATCATATTGGACAATTTATATATAATTCAACTATAAATATGATTTTCTTGAGATTAATCCATATTTAGTGAAAAGAAGGAAGAATTTCATTCAAAATAATGGCGTGTGTAATGTCATTCGAAAGCAATCTATTGACATTTGACATCTCGTATTTTGATTGACTATTGATTAAATGGTTGTCATCTGGAATGCTTGTTCACTAAATATGAAAAACTCGCCATAAAAATCATATTTCCTGTTGAATTTTCTATATAAAAATGTGCCATCGAAGTACATCATGAGTATATAAAGTTGGCAATGACAAAATAAGAGCAAGTAGCTTCAAATGCCCCCAACACAAGGGGAGAAAGAAGGCGAAATTTCGAACTTTTTCTTGAAATATCTCAATAAATAGTGGTTTGTTCACATTTTCATTATAAAATTCGGTTTATCAGACAAAAATACGTGAGTACCGAAAACAATTTTCAAAAAAAAACCATCGCATGATTAATGCAGTTTTACCCTTGAAAATTACAGTTTCAAGTGTAACGATCCACTTGGGTGAAAAATCCAACAACAGAAAATTGAAAACACTCACTGGTTATTTTTTCAGGTAATAGGAATGCTCCAAGATGTCAATCAAAATAAAATACATTTTCCACAATTTTCTTTCGATCAATCTCACGATAAGTTTATGTTCTGCGGGCCCTGTATAAGTAGGTGTGAAGTTTACCTTCACCACAATTTTTGCCGATATATTTAATTCGAATGGGTTGCTGTAGGTAGGTATTTGTGTTTTATCCTGGTTTTTGCTTTAAAACTTCGTTTTTCCATAATAAAATCGAATGGGGTGCGAAGAAGAGCTCAGTTGACGACTGGCATCCTTTTTTAACCGGAAGCCCTTCAAAAAACAGCAAAATCGGCTAAATGATGATCTAAAACTGAAATCGAAATACGCGGTCGCCTTATAGCGCTTGTCGTTTCGACCCTCTGGTTAGGCCTCACTAAGTGACGTCACCCACGGAGCATGCAGGCCTTGTTGTATCGGTGGTAACGATCCAGCCCACTACCCACTCACCTGAGCGCTCCCGATGGGCGTGCTCGAGTGCTCCACGTTGCTCAGCCTGCCCACCGTGCACATGCACACCGCCGGCAGACTGAACTCGCGCTTCGACGGCATCGCCACCACCACGTGATCGTTGGGCGCCTTGCGCACGATGGTGGCGTACGCGCCGGCCGCGTGTATCAGCATGCCGCCCACGCCGGGGTACTTCTCCACGCAGTGCACCTGCGTGCCGATGGGCAGGGCGCCCAGCGGGTAGGCGTCGCCCTCGTTCGGCCTCACTGCAAATCAATGGATGGATCAATCAGGCGAACTGTGCTTTTCAAGATTATTTGTCTACAGTGTGTCCCAAATTCGATCTTCACCATTGGGATTGTTTATACTTGTAACTAACTCAATAAGGAGCACTATGTAGAATATCATGACCGTTCAGATTTCAGTTAGCTTTGACTGACAATTTTGACAATTTCCAAGGTAACAAAAATAATAAAAAAAGAAATGTAATCCAATTTTGCTCATTTCAATAAAACTAATGTATTTTCATATTTGGAGCATTATTGTGGAATAAATCAGTCGAGAAAGTCGACAATCATTGATCCGGCTCGAAGGACCAGGGATCACGGAATACTGCTAGCCAAGCTGAATCATTACGGATTCAGGAGTCTTGTTAATGACTGGTTCGCTTCATACCTCACTGATAGAAAACAATTTGTGAAAATTGATGGGGTGAAATCCTCTTTATTGAATATACATTGTGGGGTACCTCAAGGGTCAGTATTGGGTCCGGTATTGTTTCTCCTTTATATAAATGATATTTCTAGTCTTCCTATACAAGGAAAATTCACTATATTTGCCGACGATACCACCATTTTATGGCACAGTAGAAATGTAAATGAATTGAAGGCAGCGATCACCAGAGATTTGAAAATAGTTAAACTTTGGTGCGACTCAAATCACTTATGTTTTAACGCTAACAAAACCAATATTCTTACCATTAGATTCGATTTTGACGACTTACAACTAGAGAATCAGAATATAGAAAATAAACCACACTGTAAATTCTTAGGTCTTTCGATTGACAATAGACTCAAATTTGAAGAGCACGTAAAATACCTCAATAGAAAGCTATCTTCTAGCTGTTATGCTATCCGAGTTATTTCTAATGAGCTTGGGCCATATTCAGCGAAAATGGCATATTTCTCTTTATTCGAATCGCATATTACGTACGGTATTGCTTACTGGGGTTTTTGCACAGATCAATTATTGAACTCAGTGTTCGTTCTACAAAAGAGAGCTGTTCGGTACCTATGTAAGGCTACAAACCGGGCATACTGTAAACAACTCTTCATCCTACATAAAATTCAGACAGTGTACAATATCTTTATCATAGAGTCTGCGTGCCTTATTCACAAAAAGTACGGGTCGAGTATCTCATCTCCAGAAATTGTTCATAACACCAGACAGAAAAACAATCTACAATTACCCATTCCTTTGTATACATTGACAAAAAATTCGCTTATATATGAAAGCAAAAACATTTACAATCATCTTTCACAAGAGATACGTAAAGTTTCGAATCTTAAAGCCTTTAGGCATAAGCTGAAGGAACAATTGGAAATAAAAGCATACTATAGTGTTTCAGAATATTACAATACCTTCTGATATGTTATATATTTTCATTAGGCATGTGGAAACTATTATAGTATTATGTTCATGTTTTTGTTGATGTAGTTTGTCAAATATCGTCTGTTTGTTCGTTTTCATATATATATATATAGTGACGAGATAATATATTACAATAAAATATATTATGTTTATTTTTCACATTATTGTTATTATCATCAATGTTATTATAAGTATTACCATTCTATATGACGAATTATGAATATCATTATGAATAATTATTGTTAAATTGTAACCTGCTTTGTCAATGAGTTAACACTTTGGACAATAAAGCTTATTTGATTGATTGATTGATTGAAGATAACAAAGCTCTGAATGGCCCAGAACCCTTCTGTGGTATTGCGAAAGCTATACAAAAGACTAGTATATCAAATCATGGATGCAAACCAAATCTCAAGAATGGTAGAACAACTCGCCAGGTATATGAGACAGGTAAAAGAGTTTATTAAAAAACCATCTCCAATATTCACAGAATATCTCCTGAGCCAGAAACGAAGTTCAACTAGAATACTAGTTGAAACGCAGTGACATTTTGGGGCGAATCATCTGATTTGTCCCACTACAAATATATTGAAATAATACGCATATTTTTATTTTGTAGAAACGAGAAAATCCAAAAAAATCAAATAAAATTAATGTTCCACCTCCTCGATTAACCTACAGACAATATTTGTGCTTTTGAAGATTTGATAGTTTTTTTTGTATTGAATAGGCTCTGAAACTACTGGATCGATTCGGCTAAAAATTGGTGGGGAGGTAGCTCAGAACCAGAAGAAGGTTATAGGATACTTTTTATCCCGGTACCATTTGTAAATTCAAGACGACGGATCTAATATATCGGACGAGTGTTGTAATTATGGCCAGATTCTATTCAAAATTGGTATCTGGAGGTTTTTGGGGTCGGAGATTAGGATTCTTTTGTCAGAATTTGAAAGTTCGAGCAAAAATTGGAAATTCAAGATGGCAGAACCAATATGGCGGACAACTTTTGTAATTATAATCCGATTCTTTCCAAAATTGGTACCTAGGGGTTTTCGTGATCGGAGATTATGATTTCTTCGTCAAAATAAAGACATTCAAAATGGCGGATCCAAAATGGCGGATTTTGTAATTAGGTTCCGATTTTGTTCAAATTTGGTATTTGGTGGTTCTCGGGGTCGGAGATTATGATTCTTTCGTAAAAATTAGAAAATTCAAGATAGCGGACCCAATATGGCGGACGAGCATTGTAATTATGATCCCACTCTCTTCAAAATTGTTATCTGGGTTTTTCCAGGGTCGGAGATTATGATACTTTCTTCAAAATTTGGGAAGGGCGGAATTTGGAAAGGGCGGGATTTGGAAATTCAAGACGTTTGTTTATTTGCACAATGACTTTTACCAAACTAATATACCGGACGAGTTTTGTAATTAATTGATTGTGAAAATAATTTAGAATCTGACACAAGGAAACCCTAGTTCAAAATCATGCTAGGTAAGGAGAACAAACTCATGTATCTAATGAAGATGATAGAGCACAAATCATAAAGTTGCAATGTTATTGACAGAATAAATGTGATTAATATGATTGTGAACTAGGGTATCGAATTTGACAGGTCAGTAGGGGCGGCAAAAATTGGACAGAATATACTGGCAACACATTTGTAAATCCGCCACTTGTGTATTTTCTATCTTGTTTGAGAGTACCTATCCCTTATAATTACCATAGATGAAAGGGTGTGTTTCATCTATGTAATTTCTATATTTTTTATGATTTAACATATTCAATGTTTTTTGTTACTTTCATATTCTGTGGTGTACTTTGAATAAATAAATTAATAAATGAATAAATAAATATACAGGCTGTTCCTTAATGACATGCTAATATTCAAGGGGCCGATTCTTGGACCTATTTGAAGAATAAAACTTCATATGAACGTATGTAAACGTCCTAACTATTGAGATACAGGGTATCAAAGTTAAACATATACATAGATTCTTTTTTTGTCCACCCTGTATAGCTTTTCCTGATGGCAAAATTTATTCTGCTATGTGACTGAAACGGTGCAAAAATTTCAAAATTTTCTCTAGTGAGGTTATCCAGTAATAGCTGTCCTGAATGGAGTACTTAAGCCTAGCATTTACATCAAAATTTGAAGTTTGATCTCGTTTTTTCGTTTTTTCTCGAATCGAATATCAACAAGAGTATCTTTTTTGTACAAAATTGAATGAAACTTTTTTTCTTCCATTGGCGTAGAATTTTTAAAGGTGCAATTATTTAAAAAATCAAGTTCTACGCCTATGTATTATTATCGGACAAAATTTTACCAAAATTTTTTTTGTCACATAAAACTCTATCAATATACTAAATTTCAGCAAAATCGCATAATTATGCCGTTTTGAATTTTTATGGGAAAAACGATTTAAAAATTGTAACTTTAAGGCCCTCTGGAGCCCAAACGATGCAACTTTGTACTGAGGTAATTTTACTTAAATCGACTTATTTTGGTCAAGGCAATATGTGGAATGTTTTTGTAAAGACCTTTTACAGACCCTGTATTTCTAGTATACTCAATACTTAATTTCAATATATTTAGTAGGTACCTACCTACCTATTCAAAAGAATTACAAATACTAGTGACTACATTTTGCAAGAATTTTGAAAAGAATACTTCCTACATGCAACTTAACAGTGTGAGAATATTGATATTTTTAATTGACTTGATTTATTCCCTATAAGTTAATAGTTATTTATGCAACAAGTGCAAAAAGTGAATGTTTATTGCACGAGTAACATACAACATTTTTTCTACGTTCATGCAAAAAGCAAAGAATGATTTATTGAGGTGCGGCACTAGGTACAATTCTGTTAATTGCCAGAATTAATTTTTGACTGACGTTTCTATAACCACAGTTGCAATATAAAAAATGTTTGTCATGATGACAACACGTTGAAGTAGAATGACCGATGAGTGCGATAAAAACTTTATTGCACTAAGTGCAATAAAGAACTTCTTTTTCCACTAAATATAGTTCAATAAAGTTCTGTTTTTTGCATGAATGTAGAAAAAAGCTTTTATTTAACTTACATTGTATGTTTGTATGTATGTATGTATGTATGTATGTATGTATGTACGGGTGGAATCTTTGAACTCAATTTTGAAGTAGAAATCTTCAACCGATTGAGCTGAAATTTTGTATACACGTTCAGTTTGGATGACAATGCACGATAAGGTGTCACGTTATTCTAAATCCAATATGGCGGACTATCCAAGATGGCGGAATAGCTATTTTTGATATACTTTTACAATATGGGTATCAAATGGAAAGGCTCGTTGAGAGTAACTCGAAAAATGATGTGACGTCATTCTAAATCGAATATGGCGGACCATCCAAGATGGCAGAATTATCATTTTCAGTTTACTTCTACAATATGGGTATCAAATGAAAGGGCTCGTTGAGAGTAATTCGAAGAATGATGCGACGTTTTTCTGAATCCCATATGGCGGACCATTCAAGATGGCGGAATAGCTATTTTTAATATACTTCTACAATATGGGTATCAAATGGAAAGGCTCTTTGAGAGTTACTCGAAAAATGATGTGACGTCATTCTAAATCCATTATGGCAGACCATCCAAGATGGCGAAATGGTCATTTTCAATATACTTCTACAATATGGGTATCAAAGGAAACGGCTCGTTGAGAGTAATTCGAAAAATAATGTGACGTTTTTTTAAATCCAATATGGCGGACCATCCAAGATGGCGGAATAGCTATTTTTAATATACTTCTACAATATGGGTATCAAATGAAAAGGATCGTTGATAGTAACTCGAAAAATGATGTGATGTAATTCTAAATCCATTATGGCGGACCATCCAAGATGGCGGAATGGTCATTTTCAATATACTTCTACAATATGGGTATCAAATGAAAAGGCTCGTTGAGAATAAATCGAAAAATCCAGCTAGCGATAACTAAAAATTAAAAAATAAATTAAAAGTAAAAAAAAAAAACTTTTTAATAAAAAGCTTTTATTTAAACGCTCTAAAAAGAAGAAAACAAAATGTTTCTTGATAATTTTAACTATCAACTTATAACCTCATTATACACAATTTATATGATCATAAAAGCTTGTAGGGGTGATCAATATTTAATCAAATTTTTATTTTAAAAATTTTATTTCAGCAGATTTTACATAATTAAATAAGTACTAGTTCATTCACACAAGTGAATTGCTGAACAAACTTTTATGATCATATAAATTGTGTATAATGAGGTTATAAGTTGATAGTCAAAATTGTTAAGAAAAATTTTATTTTCTTCCTTTTAGAATTTAGAGTGTTCAAATAAAAGCTTTTTTTATCGCTTGGAGCGCACGAGAGGGAATCCCTATAATGTTCAAAGAACATCGTGCGTTCCTAGGGAGGATAGGGACAGGAGGTAGGTATTGGATTTTTTTCTGAACTTGTTATTGAAAAGTTTTTTTTACTTTTAATTTATTTTCTATGTAGATTAGAGTAAAGTAGAGTAGTTTATTAAATCATATTACATTATACAGAAAAGTTTATGGCAGGTCAGAGAAGTACAGTAGTGATTATTTTTAAAACATGTTGAAATATCTACACTCAAATGGAATAAAATTGCATTAAAAATTGTATGAATGCCTCCATGAATGCTTAGTGCCAATGATTCACATAAATCTATGAAATAAACAGTAAAAAATTAAGAAAAACTATGAATTGATAATGTGGAGAATTTCAAAATTGTCATCAAAACTATGATTTTCTCGAGGGTTTTCTTCTATATTTGGTCTGCCTATGTATGATGAATTTGTTTTCTTTTTTGAAAAATTCATTAACAAACCAATAACATGTTGGTAAAGGGTTTATCAAAAATAATAAAGACAAAACTTATAAATTCAAAAAATCAGGGGTATACAAACTTGACTGTGGATCTTGTTCAAAGGTATATTTAGGTTATACAGGGCAGGGCAAATGTTTAATCAGGGCATTCATGAACATAAGATGTATTGGAATACATTTTTCAACAAAAAATGTTTTAACAAACATATTATGTGAACCATACATCACAAAATAACCATAGTTTTGATGATAATTTTGAAATTCTACATAGAAAAAAGGTTCAAGTTTCGTTTAGCTGAAATCAGTTATGGAAAAACTGTTGCCATGGCGACGATCGTCATGGTAACGAGTAAACAAAAACCCAATTCCCGTGGTGAGGAAATGCGTGGTTGCCAAGTTGTATCGGGTTTGGTTAAGCTGAAATCAGTTATGGAAAAACTGTTGCCATGGCGACGATCGTCATGGTAACGAGTAAACAAAAATCATATTCCTGTGGTGAGGAAATGCATGGTTGCCAAGTTGTATCGGGTTTAGTATAGCTGAAATCATTTATGGAAAAACTGTTGCCATGGCAACGATCGTCATGGTAAGGAGTAAACAAAAACCCGACTCTCGTGGTGAGGAAATGCGTGGTTGCCAAGTTGTATCAACTTCAGTTTCACAAAAGTTCTTACTAGTATTCAAACAATAACTTGATTTGAATGAATACCCTTCTTATCAATTTCTTGAAGATTGTTCGTCGTTGATTAATTCCCAAATTACTACTTCTCTGACAATCATATATGGAAATAATGTCTGGAAAAATAGGCTTTGTTTTTGAACAGAGCTAGACAAAATAGCGAGCGACAAAATTGTGCGGGACAAATAGAGCATAAGGTAGGATACTACTTTTTCTAAACAATCTAACCTAACTCGGCTTAAATGAACCTTCTTAGAAAAAATTTATTTTTCAACATCGATCAGATTTGGTAGCAAGGCATCGTTCGTGTGTATTTGAAGACTGCATAAAAAAGGACACTACTTTTTCCAAACAATCTAACCTGACTCGACTTGAATCAACCTTCTTCTTGGAAAACTATTATTTTCCAACATCGTTCAGATTTGATAGCAAGGCATCGTTCGTGAATATTTGAAGACTGTTGCTGAATCAAAATGTGGGCGTGAAGAAAGATATAAGTGAATCGAAATGAAGGCAAATGGAAATGTGGGTGGGCCTAACGAGACGTTTCCATCTGTATTAGATAATCAGTACCAGTAGTCTCTCTTCCGCGGTACCTAGTAATGAATATTCCATTATTCCATAACTGATTTCAGCTATAATAAACCCGATACAATTTGGCAACCACGCATTTTCTCACCACGGGAATTGGGTTTTTGTTTACTCGTTATCATGACGATTGTTGCCATGGCAACAGTTTTTCCACAACTGATGATTTCATCTATACTAAACCAGATACAACTTGGCAACCACGCATTTCCTCACCACAGGAATATGATTTTTGTTTACTCGTTACCATGACGATCGTCGCCATGGCAACAGTTTTTCCATAACTGATTTCAGCTAAACGAAACTTGAGCCAGAAAAAATACATTAATAAAACCCAATCACTTGAATCATTAGAAATCAACAAAGGCAATTCTAACATTTTACTTAATGATCAACTGGACCACAATAATTTACCACTGTTGAATTGGTTTCCTAGTAGATAATCACTATTAACCTTACAAGTTGATCCAGTACATGGTATTTTAATGTAATATTGTGCCTACTTTCCGAAAATGAAGGTTTATCCAACCTTTCCACAGGTAATTCTAATCCTTCAGGTTGGGAGAGTAGGATATTAAAGTCAGGCAAGCCAATGTAAGTTCAGTTTATGGTACCAGTATTTCACATGAAAAAGCTACTGTGTTAGAGAAAGATGTCATGCATTTAGGAATTTTATGGAAATTTCATTGCTTATGAAGTTTTCAACATTTGAGAATATTGCTCGGAATATTGAATAACTAAAATGTGATCAAATCCACTGATGGAGGTTCATGAAGGTGCTCACCTGGAATTCGAGGGATAAAACATGAGGTTCTAATAAGGTCTCCTGGTTTCATATTGACTGTAGCAAGGATATACTTCAAGGTATTCCCATGGGCTACTAATGCTATATGCGCTGTCCTACAACCATCTTTCATAACTTTAATTACTCGTTCAAGTTGCACTTTTCCCTCTTCCTTGGGCCCTTCCCGTTTCCAATGTATCCAGTGGTATTTATGTTTTATACCGCCTCCTATACCCTTGACGACCATCCTCCCAGTTTTAGGGTCTCTTCCTCCCAGATTTGTTACATTCAAGGGCTGGACGGTGTAGTTTTCTGGGAAATGAACAATCCTGCGAAAGGCAATTCCATGGCCGATTTGTGGTTTTTCCACATGCCTGGCCTTATATCTCACACTACCTAAAACTTTTGGAGTGCCAGCTGAAGCAGATAAGTCTACGAGAGATAACTTCTGGAATATTCTTGCTAAAGTGGACATTTCTTTTCGAAAAAATATTGAAATTGAGAAATTAATTGAAAATAAATATAAATATACCTTAATGTTAATGGCATTCGACATTTGAAAGTGACACCAGTGACTAGTGACAGCTGGATTGACAGGAAATAGCATGAATTCGGATTCACCCTAAACAAGTATGTACTTCTTTATAGACCAATCAGAACAATGCTGTGAATTCAAATTAACAATGGTGCATAAAAAACACTTGAGGAAGCTGAAAAGAGCTCTCCTCATAGCAAGACAATGGAGATGATCTGAAAGGTTACCGTCACAGTCATCGAACCTGGAACAGAAATAATTGAAATGATATAAGATATAAGAGGTATTCAGAACCTGTCAAATTCTACTCGGGTAACTTTCAGCGGGAGGATGGATCTAGGGTCCCTTGATGTAAATTGACGTATTTGTCATCTCAACAGGGTAGGGAGTGGATCGGTGATGGAATTTCCCATTCCTGTGAATGAGATGTAACAGGAAACTTATATTGCGATTTTCATTTGATGTTTATTGTCGTCAAGTTTGGGTAAAACAAAAGCACAACAGTGCAAACATCATAATTATTGATTATAAACATCTCAGTCAGTAGACAACTGGTTCTTAAAGGATTAATAAACCACAAACTGTGCTGGTACCACTACTGTAAAATCCTTTCCATTGATTCTTAAAGGTGAGTTCCCAATGCAGCGTTTTTGCTTTACGCATCGCATGTCATGCAACCTGATTGATGACGCTGAATTTGAAAGATATTTGACGCGATGAAGTTAACATATTTTAACAGCATTATACATTCTTTCAACAAATCCAGATTTTTCATGAAGATATGGAAATCAAACTCTCATTTCTGAGAGTAATCTCATGTTTAGTAAATCATTGCAGTATCACTGAAGTAGGTACCTACCTAATCATCTCATTTTCACTAAGCTGTTTTGGTTTTTTGATGAATTACGTATGTTATGCAGCTCTGAGCTCTGTATATCTTGGAAGATTGTACTATATTTTTAGAATTGTCAGATATTCTCATGATTTTTCAATGCAAACTTCAACAAATGATAGGTAATTCCATTGGGAACTGAAGAAAATTATAGAAAACAGTGCAGCAATTCTGATTCACACGTCACCAATCAGCCTGCGTGACGCGAAAAGCAAGAAAGCTGCATTGGGAACTCACCTTCAGAATCTTTCGTACGTACTTACGGTGAAAACGAGTTCTTGTCTGCCGACCTGCCATCTGGTGAAAAAAAAATAGTTCTACCCTTTGACACCTGTTGATTGTTGATTTGTTTTGTCACGTTTCGACGTTTCAGTTTTCAGCGTTTCACTCATTCATTTCAAGACGTTTCACGTTTGAAGTTTTAAGTTTCTATATCGTTTCTTTCGTTTACATCGCGATATTGCGGTTTTCAGATTCTTGTTTTTTTTTAGATAGATGTTAAAGGGATTGTTTGTGATATTGTGATGTGCTTTTGATGTATTCGTGAGTCGTGAGTTTTAAGTGTGTTGATATCCTCCGTTTGACTGTTGACTGTGGAAAATAGTAATCATTGATCATTGTGTGCACAATCTTTTGGGGATTATATTTGCTGAGAAAGAAGAGACGTCTTTTCAAAAGGTACAATTTGTTTAAGTACAGATTCGTAGGTCGTTATTCATTGCGATAAAAAATATTGTCGTTTTACATTTTATTTCCCACTCGATTTCGCGTCGGTTTAGCCTTTATTTTGCTGCCTGAGAAAGTTCTCCAAAAGTCCATCAGGCACGATAATTGAGGAGCATTTCTTTTTATCTTAGCATCAAAATGATGAATGACTGAATGAGGGCTATTGAAGAGTTGAATTTGTTTGAACCTCAGGTTGAACCAAACAAATCTTATATTTAATTTATTATAAAAAGATTATTGGAGGTATAGGTGCGGCAAATTCTTGTTTTTATTGATGTTTATGAGTTTATGGCTGTAAGGGGTAGGGCAGTTCATTTATTATATTCGCACTATTCCATTCCATTCTTACTACACACATAATAGTATTTAGATCTATGCTATTCATTTAAAAAGAGATCACAGAGCCAAGATTACACAGGTGTATTATTCTGTGATTACTTACACACATCATGACAGCACAGTGTTTTTTGAAGGTCATGGACAGCAAGCTGTAGGTTTATAGACCAATCCAAATGAAGGTTTAGGTCAAGAATTTTGACGCAAATTTAGGGGTTGCCGTGGGTGTAGAGTTTTCGTGCTGAAGAGTTCATTTCATTTCATATGATGTTTGCCCGCCCGAGTGTTTGCCCGTTTACCCAGTCCCTGACGTAATTGAGATTGTGTGAGATTATCAGTAGGTCAATGACATTCAGTGTGGTTTTCTTACTGTTAACGTTAACCTAGTTCTTGAGCGGTGCCAAATCTACCTACCTATAGATATAGTACCCGAGATAGTACCTCAACATTGCTCACGTAGCTGAACTTTCCTACTACCGTTCTCCCCTATACAGGGTGTTTCCTATCAACGGTTCCTTACTGCAGGTGGTGATTCGTAAAGTTCCTATACTAACATACTCGCTAACATATGTCCGGAGGTGCTTCGTTTCTGAGATACAGGGCGATAAAATTGAAGAAAAAAAAACGGTAATTACAAAATATCATGAATATCCTGCAACCGATTTGGTTGAAATCTCGGTTGAAATTTTGTAATTTTGTACTCTAATTTGAACTAATAAGGCGCTTATTTAGCCTTTTTTTAGATTGAATTTATCGGGGCCAGTGCCGTCTCAGTGGGCTCCACAGCCATCAGCATTGTAAAAAAAAGTACGCCAATGACTTTTCTTGTGAATTTAAATTTTTTTTTTATTTTAAGCAACTCAAAATACAACTTTTTGATCTCTTGTATTTTCTTCATATTCAGCTTCGTTTTCGAGAAAAAAAATTAAAGCCACTGTATTGCATATCATGAACACCTGCATTGGAGGAATGAGTTTCATTATTTCCGCCAAAAATATAATTCGACACTTGATATGCTGAAATTTTAGGAAATTTTACAAATAAAAGTACCAAATTTCAACCAAATCGGTTCCAGGATATTCATGATATTTTAAAATTACCTGTTTTTTGTCTTAAATTTCAACGCTCTGTATCTCAGTAACGAAGGAACTCCGGACATATATGTTCATAGGAACTTTTCTTCTTAAAATGACCTAACTAATCACCCCCTGTAGTTAGGAACCGTAGTTAGGAAACACCCTGTATATGTGCCCGAGTATGTCCCTATACAGTGTGTCCCACTTACCATGCTCAACATGGGTATCTTTTTAACGGTGGGGTTTGTCAAGGCCAACTATAATGTGAAAAAATATTTTGATAAAATCTATTCGTTTTTGTTTTGTACGCAAAAAACAGATTCTGATCATTTTCATGTCTCCTCCGTAACTTCTTTATTTATGAAAATATTCAAATAGGAATTTCACATTCTCATGGCAGTTTTTCAAGATGATTTCGAAAAAAATGTGTTGATAACAACGGAGTTATCGTCATTTTATACAAAAACAAACAAATATTTGGAAGCCGCCATCTTGAATTTATAAATTTAAAAAAAAAATCATGATCTCCGACCTCAAAAACCCCCACTTACCAATTTTGAATAGAATCGGACCAAATCTTGTCCACCATCTTGGAGCAGCCATTTTTTTTTATATCAACAAAAATTCCATAATGTATTGTCACCGAAATTATGAACACCTGCCAAATTTCAAGTTGATCGAAGTTATGGAATTTTCGCTGAAATTAAAAAAATGGCTGCTCCAAGATGGCGGACAAGATTTGGTCCGATTCCATTCAAAATTGGTAAGTGGGGGTTTTTGAGGTCGGAGATCATGATTTTTTTGTAAAAATTTATGAATTCAAGATGGCGGCATCCAAATCATTTTTTGTTTTTGTATAAATGACGATAACTCCGTTGTTATCAACACAAAACTATTACTGCGACATATCATCTGTAAAAAAAAAGTTATTTGTAACTAAGTCATAGTGAGGTATGACCTACATACGAGGGGTAAATCACGGGCTGAAATTGGGTACACTAGACTTCCTTCATTGAAAGAATTCCCGGAATTCCTGGGACTACCCAAGGAATTCCTAGGAATTCCCAAAGACTACCCGGAATTCCTGGGACTACCTAAAGACTACCCGGAATTCCTGGGACTTCCCAAGGAATTCCTAGGAATTCCCAAAGACTACCCGGAATTCCTGGGACTACCTAAAGACTACCCGGAATTCCTGGGACTTCCCAAGGAATTCCTAGGAATTCCCAAAGAATACCTGGGATTCCTGGGACTACCTGAGGAATTCCCAGAGACTACCCGGACTTCCCAAGGAATTCCGGAATTTCCTAAAGATTTATCCGGATTTATCATACATCCCAAGGAGTTTTCAAAATTTTGCGTAAAAATAGGTAGATTACGAATGAGTTCCATTCGTAAAATGCAAAAAAAGTCAATCGATAGGTAGGTTGAATTCAAACCCAAGGACGAAACTTGGGCAATGAAAAAACTTGTAGGGATAAGTGATAAGTACTCGGATAAGTATCATTAACACTACTGGGTGTTTCTGAATTCGAGTGACAGAAGCCTATACAGGTTTCTTCCTATTTAAATAAAAAAATTGTAGGTATACCATTTACAGATTTTGCAAAAAAGTTCCGGTACACATTGAAAAAAAATCTGGTTTTTCATCTCAATGTTATGAACAAAATTCTTTTGCCGATTTGAATGATAATTATTGTAACAGCTCATTGAAGTCTTCCTGAGATATCGTTCGGAACTCTTTAATTTTCCCAGTAATTCAAGAATTGTGTTTACGACAAGTGTTTCACTTTTGTTCACGAAGAATACCATTAGTCGATTTTCCCAATTCATTTCAGATGAAACAGTTGAAAATATAGTGAAACCAAGATAAGGTAATATAGGGATCTCGGGAACAGGAAAAGAAACGGATTCGGTTAAATGGGAAACAAGTTGCGCATTTTGATGATCATACCAACGGCTTTGGAAAATTTTCACAATTGTTTTTAGTTTTTCAGTTATACAGGGTGTTCCTCAAGTACGTGTAGAAAATTCAGGAACATGTTGCTGACGTCAAAATAAGAAGAAAAGTTCGTATAAATATATGTCCG